TGCGTCAGAGGAAGGAGAGAAGGCTAGGCGGTGAGGCCCGCCTGCCGGTCCCGCATACGCGGCCCCCTCACACGCGGCTCCCGGGCTCGCACAGGGACCGGGCCCACAGCTCTGCACGTGGCCTGCCCCAGTCAGGCCTCACCCTCCTCCGGGTCTGCCTCAGGATCCGCCTCGCGCGGTCGCGGGTTCAACAGCTGTTCCAGCTGCAGCGCCAGGGGCTGCGGCCCTGCCATCTTCACCAGGTCTCGGTCCGCGTTGCGCACATGAATCTGCAGCCCAAAGCCAGCCCTGACGCTCTCTCCCCGCCGGGTCCTCTTGCCCCGAGACTACTCCCCCACACAGCCAGGAATCGCTTTGGGCCCCTCGCCCAACTCCCGGCCGGCAACTTCCGGGAGCCGCGCTGGAGAGGCGGGGCTTAGCGTCACAATGAGCGTTGCTAGGATGAAGGCGGAAGCGCGCGAAAGGCTGAGGGGATTGTCTGTCTGCCGGGAGCGTGTGCGCGTGCGCGTGCGCGTGCGTCAAAGGGGCGTGTTGTGTGGTGCGGGAGCGCGCGAAGGCACGTGGTAGTCGCTAGCTCAGACCGGAGATTGAAGTGCGCGCGGCCGGTGTCCCGTTAACAAAAAATATGCGACAAGATTTGTGCGAGATTTGTTTAGGAATAAAGTGCAATGTAGCCGTGGCCCATGGTGGTTCATTTGGGAAGGAGGAGGGGACCGAGGTCAGCATCGCGAGCCTCGCTTAGACTTGTACCAAAAGCAGGTTTGGCATTTCGCAATTTGGGGGAGTCTGGGACCAGGCACTTGCCTATAGCCCGGGGGCCAGGATTTGGGAATCCTTTGTCAGGGATGAGCATTGTAAGTGTGCAGTGGACTGCTGACGCCTTTAATCGCTAAGGACATCATGCTTGGTAAAGTAGAGGGTTAGCGAAAGAGGAAGATCCTCAACGAGATGGATTGACACAGTGGCTGTTAACAATGGGTTTAAACATAGCAACGATTGTGAGGGTGGTGCAGGACTGGACAGCGTGTCGTTCTGTTGTACATAGGGGTCGCTATGAGTCCGAACCGACTCCAAGACACCTAACAACAGCAACATGGCTGTGCATAAAAATCGTTTCTGTAGCTTCTCCAAGTAGCCTTGTCTGAGCAGGGGGAAGAAAAGGGGGTGGGGGTGGGGTACTCTACTGCATACCTCCTCGGTATTGATATCTTTTCTGTTCAAAAATGAGATGTTCAGACACCCAAAACTGGTGTACAAAGGCAGAAAACCTCATGTCTACCATTAGAGGGGCACAGGTAGACTCCAAATTTAAAGACTTAATAGGATAAATTTAATTGCATTCAGGCACACAGCAAGATACAATCACTTGCCTTCCTTCATCAAGCATTCCCAGACTGCCCACTACGTGGCAGGCACTGCTAGATGAGATACAAAAATGAGTAAGTTAGATTCTGTCCTGTTGGTGAGCAGCCTAGGGGGGCAGACAAGCATGAAACAGAAACTGCAGTAAGAAATGATAAGAGTTGAGTACAAAGTGCTCTATCCTTCCACTATCTGTTCGAGGTCACCTGTAGAGACCTAGAACCCCCTAAACAAACACTACCTCAAAAGAATTCAGAGAAGAGATGTTAGGGGTACACTGTGGCAGTGCCCCTTCTTGGGTTCAGCCCAGGCCAGCTGGATCCCACAGCTGAGTAGCCTGAAACCCTCAACTCCTCAGTGTCTCCAGTGAATTCCAACGGGTGTGAGGGTCCCTGTCTTCCTATGCCCTTAGGATCAAGAGCAATTAGAGGCCAACACTTTTGTAGGCCATGTCCCATGTTCCTACCCTAGGTGGCTCTTGAAGAATAAAGACTAGGACAGGGGCAACCTAGGCCGGTGACTCAGGCCAGGAAAAGCCCTTTACCATCCTGTTAAGCAGGAGAACTCCAGTGAGAACAGCTTTGTTTCTTTTCTTTTTTTTTTTTTTTAAACTTATCCCCTGTAATTGTAGCCTGGTGCCTGCTTCTGGGCCCTCCAGAGCAGCAGCATGCTCCTCAGGCAATAACAATAGGCATCCCCCTGGCCTGCAAAGAACAAAAATATTTATCCCAACCCACATTTAGGAAACTAATTCCCTCAATCCTCTTCCCTTCCTATTGAGGACATTAATAATGCTTAGAAACCTATTCTTGGGGTAAAGAGAAGAGGGGAGGGAGGTGAGACAGGTGAGCTATCACGCAGACAGGTCACTGCTAGATGATTGTGGAACTGGGCTGGTCACACACCCAGAAGACAATGCTGTAGATCTGCTCACCCACTCTTCCTCCTCAGTCGTGGTCCTTACTGACTCAGGAAGCCTTTTCAGGAAGTAATCAAGACTGCTGCACTCCTGTCACATACATCCCAACCAAATAACCAAACCCATTGCCATCAAGTTGATTCCAACTCATAGCGACCCTGTAGGACAGAGTAGAACTGCCCCATGGGGTTTCCAAGGAACGGCTAGTGGATTTGAACTGCCAGCATTTTGGTTAGCAGCCGAGCTCTTAACCACAGCACCACCAGGGCTCCCACATATATCCCAGGTACCCCAAGATGCTTCCCCTGCTGTCTTATTCCACTCTGATGGTTGGAAGCGAATCGCAAGAGTGGACGAAGAAGGAAATAATTCAAGAACTTAAGATGCAGCTGAGGGGAGTTGAGGCACGGGGTGAGGACTGTAACCTCCCAAGTGCTCTTTCTGGGGCCCTTCCCTACCAGCATTCTAGTTTCTTGAGATCCTAGGGAGGAATGCCTGGTGGGAATGGAGGTTGGATTATAGGAGGGGATATTTCAAAGACTATACTTTCCTAGTAGAAATTTCAACTGCTGACTGCTCTAGCAGGGAGATGAGAATAAAGGGGAGCCTCATCCAAAAGAGCAGTCCTCTTCAGAGAAGGTAGGGGGTTTCCTGTTTGACAATCTCTCTGCCTGATGCCTAAGGACTACAAAGTGGCAGGCCGATGGAAGAGAGGTGACACTGGATGCCCCATTGTCCCAATGAACTCTTCAGTAACTAGAGGTTACAAGAGTTTTGGGAAACCAGGTCCAGACCTGCCTCTCTTTTAGGCCCCCTGGAAATGCCTATCCTGGCTCTCCAGGCATACTGTTCCCCTACCCTATCGCTCCAAACCAGGCCCCTAGCCTCCACCAGTCTGGAGAGGTTGGGTGGGTGAGCTTCGGCTCTCTCGCCCGCGCACATGGCGGCTCCTTGCTGCTGGAATCCCGAGGGCAGGTAGCGAGAGGCACAGAGGAGGCGGCTTTAAGATGGCCGCGAGGAGAAACCAGGCGGCCAGACCAGGCTAGAGAGGAAGCTGCCCTGCTGGGCGAGAGGGAACCGCTGCGCGCCTCCCCTGGGAGCTCTGAACCCAGCCGCGTGGGAAAGACGCAGCGCTGCCCCGCACCTCTGGCCCAGAGACCCGCAGCGCGACTCCAGTAGAAACGAACAGTCTCCTGCCATTTCTAGACCTCCTCCTCCCCGGTCTTCGGCTCCAAATTTGACTGCCAGGAGTTGCCACCTGTTCCGGTATTCGCCAGGGTTCACGATGCCGCGCGGAAGGGAAAGACTGCGCCGCTGCAGCTGAGTCAGAAGAATTGAGTTCACACCGTAGTGCCTAACTCCAAAACGCTTCTTGTCAAGTACACGATGCCACAATAAAACTGATAAATAATTCAGCAGCCCTGATAGGAAAATGCAGCTTCCCAATGAGCATACATTCAGTTAAACGAATGTCTTTAAAGGGGGGGGGGGTACTCGATAATGAATAAGTTGGCTATGATTTAATGTATATAAATGCTAAAAGGGCACAAACAAGCTGATCCAGTGATTGCATATAAAGCAGGTTAAGAAATCAGCTGCATGCAGAGGCTATGAGTTTCAAAAGTCTCCCCTGTATTTCATAAATTTCCATTTCTGAAAGAACACTGCCCGATTCTTCCCTGATAGTACCTCCCCCCCTTATTAGATAAACAGTCATATGGATGCAGTGAAATATTGCTTAGTTTAAAGCCTTCTCTGCAGTAGAGATAAACTTGGTTGTGTCTTAACAAAATATGAAAACAGCACTGGAAATTACATAACATTTAATGTAAAAACTTTTGATTTGTAAATAAGGAAATAAATAATCCAGACAGAAACTTAGGTGATAATGGAAGAGAAATTCTGAAACTCTAATAGCATCTGATATTAAAATACACGCATACACCCACACACACCTATTTCATAGCAGACAAAATATTCAAATTCCTTCCTTAACCAATGAAGGCTTGGAAGGGATTAAACTATTTTTCAGGACCTATTGGCAACTCACAGTTGAAATTTGATTTCTATATTGGTTATTTTTGTTTATCTTCCAGAGAAACTTAATATGTATCTTGTGCCAGGCAAAATATTTTTCCTTCTGGGGAACTTCAAATGTAACAAATATTATAAAACAATAATTTCATATCAGCTCTGTGAAAGGGATTAAAGTATTTCATTTCTAGCTGTACTGTACATTCATTTTATGTTATCTTTCAAACACCAAATTAGAAAGCAGGATTATCTATGGGAAATGAAACTGAAGAGAATCACCTCTAACTATTTGCAGGTTGACATTTACAAGCCCCGTTTTGCATGTAGATGGGTGGGGGAGGGGGGCAGAGAAAATGCACAGGATATCATGCCTAATCACAAACTGGACCACTCGTTTTTAGCCATGGATTTGATTTCTGTTTCAAATTCTGTATTGACTTATCAGCAAACATCTCTTCTATTGTATCAGCTAAATCCACAGAATTCAAATCTGTAGTTAATAACAGCAGGAAGCCACAGAGAAAAGCTCAGGCTGGCATTAGCAAGGGGGTTCAGCCATAGCCAAGGCAAAAATGGATACATCACCCCAATCCTGCCTCTCTCTTCATCCTGGTTTCTGAGCGGCCATTCAGTTCCCCATCAAGGCTCTCCTCTAGTCGTTAAAATATCAAATAACACACCAATTATCTAAACATCAGATTTTCTATTTTTATTAAAAACTCACAAATTTATTAAACATGTTTTCTTTCATACAGTGAATGGTCTAATATGCACTGGAGGTCACACAAGCTTAGGTTTATTAGAACAATAAAAGACATATGAGAAATTTAATATATAAAGAAAAAAGTAGCAGCTGTTGACTGCATATTTGACCATAAAATTTAAATATTTTGGACTTTTATTTTAAAGACACAAAAATAAAACCTGTGTGGGTCTATATAAGTCATATTAACAATTCCATGAATGTTCAACAGGACTAAAAATTAGCAAAGATTTTTTTTAAACCTTGTAACACTTTTTTTCTTTTTTTTTTTTTAACACTTTCTCAGGTTGCTGGTGCCAGGCACCTTTACAGTATTTGTGCTATAATTATTCTATTTGGCAACTGTCTGAATATTGTGTTTTCTCTTTGCCTCGTGTAAACAACACCTTTTTACATACTAGCACAGTGAGCCGCAAGCCCTGCAAATCTGTCAGAACAACTACAGGAAAGGAAAAGAAAATTTTGGTTGATTGCTCAAAACGTTTTGTTCTTGAACAAGAGGTTTCGAAACAGGATATATTAGTAAAACACTGAACTCCTGAATTTAACATTATACGTAAACAGTTGACTGTTTTTAGTTCAATAGTCTTTTTTTTTTTTTTAACTTTTCATGTGTGAAGGTAGAATACTTCTCTTGTACAGCTGACTTTCAAGTCGTTTTAGTGAGAGGTCTGGCTAGAGACCATTCTAACGAGTGTGTCTGCATGTGTATCTGTGTAAGAGTGTATAGAGTTTTGTGAAGGTAGAAGAGTTGATACTGAGGGCTTTACATTTAGAATTTTGCAATTTTGGCAAAAACAAAAAACCAAAACCCAGATAGACAAAATATATATATATATATAGTCCCACCTGATGCACAGCAGGTCGGCGTTTCTGAAGCTATATAGAGTTTGTTGTCGCTGTTGCTGAACTCGGAGACAACACTAAGAAAGGGTTTCCCAGAGCCAGAACCCTCCGGGCTGCTGCACCTCCCTCACAGGGTTAAGCCGGGCGGCCTCCCTCCCCGCGGCTCCTGGCATCCCCACTGGCTGTGCGCACCCGCGGTCGCCGTGAGTGTCTCTCCACCGCCCGCGGACCAGGCGCGCACGCCCGCGGGGTCCTTCCACGGTTAGGGATCCAGGTGGGAAGTGGGGAGAGGTCTGCATTTCCCTTCGGGAGCCCCAGGTCTGCACCTTTCCCGCCAGTGAGCAGATCCCAGTCCTGCCTCGAGGTGGATTTGGATCCTATATCGTGTCCCCTTTTCCCATCCCGTCTCTCTGGACGGAGAATGGTCCCCGAGGCTGGAGGAAGGGGAGGAGGACTTGCTTTTTATGTTTGTTTGTTTTCTTTTTTCTTAAATAAAGGTTCATTTCTGTACAACCACGAACTCCGCGGACTGTGCGAGACTCGCTACCACACTGCTGCCTCGTTCATTTCGGGGGGGTGGGACAGATGGTTCCCGTAGCTTCCGCCACCATTGACCGACAGCGACGAGAAAGGCGGGCTGGGCCCAAAGACCTCGGCCGACATGGAGTGCAGGGGCCCGGGCAGGCTGGGCTCGGGGCTGGGCGAGTCCCCGGGGGGGTGCGCCAGGATGTCGGTGAACCGCTGCGCCTCGCTCGAGGGGTGGTGGCCGGGCAGCGGGTGCTCCAGGCCGCCCAGAGGCGTCCCGGACGGCCCGGATGACGGCACGAAGGGCAGGTCTACCGGCGTCTGGGCCTGCGAGGACGGGGCGCCTTGCGGGAAGAAGTCGTAGTTGCCCCCGGGGCCGTAGTACTCGCTCTGGTAATCTGCGGGATAGCGGGAAGGAAATCAGGACCGTGCCCTGGGTCTGGAGGAGCACCCAAGGAGGGAAGGCACGCTCGCAGCCGGATGGGGAGAGTAACGCACCTGGAACGCGGAGGGTGCCCCAGTGGAGCTGGGAGCTGGGAGAAGGCTGGGCGCACACGCAGAAACTGCTCCCTCCCTACCCACCGCCAAGTTCAGGGTCGGGATCCGCCACCTCCCTTGGATTTACTCCCTAGCCTTCCCCCTTCACTCCCTATCTCTTCGTTTCTCTATGGAAAGCGAGGAGCACCTCCCGCGCTGCCACCCGCTTCCAGCGAAGCCACGTGCTGCCTGTCTGCGCCCCTCGGCTTGGCCGGGCACCCACCTCCGTAGAAGGAGAAGGGCCCGTTGGGGATGAGCTCGCCCGGCTCCAGGCGGTCCACGAGCGGCCGCATCCGGCGCGGACTGCGGAAGAAGGCGTGGCGCCGGGCGCCCAGCGCGCTCAACTGCTTCATCCTCCGTTCCTTGGAGCGCCGGTTCTGGAACCACACCTGAACGACACATGGGGCGGGGTGAGGCCACCAAGTATCCCCTAAGCCCCCGTGCGCGGCCCAGCCTCTCACCCCTCCACTGCACGACTCCGGGCGATCGGTGTGTGTGTGTGTGTGTGTGTGTGTGTGTGTGTGTGTGTGTGTGTGTGTGTTGGTGGTGGAGTGTCTCTGGTGGGGATGGCGCTGGATGGATCCTGAGCCAATGGTGAGCAGGATTCCCGACAGGAGGACCTGGGCAGGTCGCCCTGTCCGACGTGAGACAGTTGGGGGAGAGGGGTAGCACCGTTGTTTCTAACGGTCACTGTCACTATCACAGCTTTTCGAGGGCTGTACACATACAAACACTCAACCTCCCCAAAATAGTGTCACACACATAGCTTCTCTTTTGCGGTCTCCTGCAGCTCCTCACATGATAGTGACCAAAGACATAGAAACAGCCCCCTGTTGACATTCCATCTTGCAACGATAGTCAACACCCACAATCTCCTTTTCACACCCAGTCGCACCATCAGTGCCAAACATTTTCACACACAGCCTCAGACACAGACTCTCAACCTCCCATTCACGTGAGCGCAGGCTCCCAGAGCCTCCAAGGGGCCGCAGATCTCCCGCTGAGCCCCCCACCCCCACCCCGCACGTGTACACTCGGCCTCCCAGGCACACCTGGCCTCGAAGAGCCTCGCAGGCACCGCGTTTCGGACACCCAAGCTTGGATCAGAGACTCGCGCCAAGCGAATCACTAGCAGCCTCACGTCCTCACAATGCAGATGGCTGCCTCTGCTCTCTGCCCCAGAGGCAGAGCTAACTCCCGCCCCAACTCCTTCTCCCTCAATCCAAAACGCCCCACCTCTGTTTGGAGAGTTAGTCTCTGCTCTGGGGCTTGTCTAACTGGGGCGAGGGACCCACAAAATTGGAGTTAGGGACACAGAGGAGGTCATGTTGTGCAGAAGCCAGCGGAACGGATTAATTCCGGTGTGCCCACCGACCTCCCGGCTCCTCCCGAATTCGGAGGAGGGTGACGGAGAAAGAGGGGTCCCAACTCTCTCTGCAGTATCTGATAGAGTTCCCTTCTCCAACTTCCTGCTGAGCTCCCGCTCCTCCCCCTCCACCACCACTATCACCTCAGTTGGGCTGTGGAGAGGAGGCGGCTTTGGGATTTCCTGGTTCTCTACGCAACAGGCGGCGCTTCAAAGGCCCCGCGGGGTCGAGGTGTGTCTGAGTCTACCCCCAGCCTCCCTCCCCCACCAGCCTCCACCGACTGGCTCTCCTCCTCGCTGCTCGGCTCTCCTGGACTGGGCCTGGGTGCCCACATTGGCACTGTGGGCCTCTGGGGGGCGGAGTGGCGCGCCCCGGCCCTGACCTGGATGACGCGCATGTTGAGGCCGGTCTCTTGGGCCAGCTGCTCGCGGATGTGGCGCGTGGGCTTGGGCGTGGCGGCGAAGGCGGCCTTCAGCGTCTCCAACTGCTTGGCTTTAATCGTGGTGCGCGGCCCCCGCCGCTTAGCACCTAGATTCTGGTCGTCATTCTCATTGCTGCCCCCTTCCTTGTCCGACACGTTGGCGCTCTCCGAGTCCTTGGCGTCGTCCTGCGACGGATCTTGGGAGTCCGGTGACAAACTGGGGTCGCTGCCTGTGGTGGCTGGGGAGAGTGAAGGGACAGGTGAGCAGCGGCCGTGGAGGGCCTGCCTCTTCCAGGACCCGCCCGCCCCAGGGAGCCGGGAATTGGGGCCTCACCCGAGTGGAGGCTGTTCTCTTTGGCGACACTGCTGTTGCTTAGGTAATCCTCTTTGCAGACGAACTTGTTCTCGTCGATGATGTATAGCTCCTCGCCGGTGGAGAGTTGCTTGTTACACATCATGCAGGTGAAGCAGTTCAGGTGAAACACTTTGCTCCGCGCCCTCCGCACCAGGTCGCTGGGGGAGATGCCCTGAGCGCAGCCGGCGCATTTGGTACCGAAACACCTGCAGGGGGCCGGGTTGGCGAGGGGCAAGAGGAGATAGGAGCCGGGAGAAAGAAGGAGAGCAGGAAAGAGGAAGAAGGAGTAGGACGAAGGAGAGGAGAGAGGAGAAAAGGGGAAAAGAAAGGGAGGGAGACAGCCAGAAAGAGAAGTAGAATGCCGATTAAGCGGGGGAGGAGGCAGAAGGAGAGTGCGGGGCACCAGGGAAAATTCAGGGAGGAGACACACACGGTTAAAGCTAGGGGCCCAAGTTGCCAGCACGAACTCTCTCGTCCAGCGTTAGCCCAGGCGAGAAAAGTGCCGCCGAAGGCGAGAAGGCGGAGGGAAATTTAACGATTAGATTTACAGAACAGTTCAATTCTAAAGTTTCAGATAAACGCGCCCTGAGCGCCACTTTTCTCTCCTAGGGTCAGGCTCTCTCTCACGGTAAAAGGATGCGCGCACAGACTACGAGTTGGCGAGATCCCACACCGCCGCGGGTAAACTAACACCGACATTGAGAGCCTGGGCAGGCGCAGCTGGGTTGCGCCACGGTCAAGCTCAAAGCCGGGCAAGTCGGCGGAAGCGGCAAGCCGCTGCAGGGCTGAGCGAGTTCTAGGCGCTACGCGGCGCTTTGCGGGAGTCAGGCCTCCTCGGGGGCTCACCTACAATGGACACCTCGGCTCCGGTCCAGGGGAAACCCGGCGCGGTCGGCCGCGGCTCAGAGGCTCAGGCTATGCTTCCTCCCGGTAGTGCAAACGTGCACAGCTCATTATTCCATGGTCCCTCTGCCCCCGGAGCCACGCGTCCTGAAGCGGCACTGGGGACAGCGCGTCCTAGACCTCTGGGCAAAGTGTCCCGGGAGGCTTCGAACATCCCTCCCTCCCACACACCAATTTGATCCGTCACCACAAACTCAAGAGAAAGGTAAAAACCACATCAGCCGAGTAAGCCTGGAGATTTCAAACTCGCAAAGAGGAATTCGCCTGTGAGCCTTTTCTTCTCCGTTGGCGCGTGTTTGTGTGGGTGAGGTGGCAAGGTGGCGAGTTTAAGTGAATACAATTAAAAAGCTAAAAGGAGGAGGGGCGTAGAAAGAGATCTCCTAGCTCTGGCCAGCCGGGTCTTGGCTCTCTCCTCGGTTTCAGCAAGAAGGTAGCGGCCGCGGCAGGCAGTGCCTGGGCCGGCTAGCAGAGGAGACCTAACCTCCGAGCCGGGGTCGGCATTGGCCCGAGGCCGAACTTACCCGCCGACCCCGGCAGCCAAAGAAGCGGGGAAAACTTGCCCCGCGGAGGCTGCAGTCTTGGTGCACTTGCCTGGCTCCACTGCAGCAGTTTGCCAAGCCGGCGCTTCGAGACCAGAGCAGGTTTGGGGCAGAGCCCCTGGCGTGCGGAATCAGCCCCAGGACCGAGCTCTTCCCTGCTGCTCCCACAGCAGGCGGCCCGGACACACCGAGCAAAAGGCTCGGCGATTCCCGCTAGACCTCAGAGCTGGAAAGGCAGTGGGAGGGAGCGATCCCAGGTTTCAAGGCTCAGCCGGGAAAACGCAGTTGCGGAGAGCTCAGCGGCGGAAGGATAGACCCTAGGCTGCCCAGCCGCCTTTCAAGCTTGGAGGGGCTTCTGGGCCGAGGCGGGTTTAGACCCATTCTTCCCAGGCACGTGCAGCCAAACCTGGACCCACAGTTTCAGGACGTAAGCAGAGCCTTGTCTCCGGCCCCCAGCGCGCCAGCTGGCGAAGAGAAGGGCGGCCTCGGGATTTGGCTGCCTTCTCCAGAGGCAGCTCCTGGCGCGGCCGCCGCGGCCACGCTGACCTCTGATCCGAAGCTAGCCGCGAAGGGCGCGCGGGCGGGGAGCAGCCGAGGCGCGCGAGGAAGTACTCACCGGAAAAAGTCGTTCTTGCAGTAGAGCTTGCCTTCCCGGGAGAAGCACTTCTCGGTCAGGTTGCATTTACATTCACAGCACTGGACGCACTTGACGTGCCAGGCCCTGTCCAGCACGTTCAAGAGGAAGCGGTCCAGGATGGGCCTTTTGCAACCGGCACAGTGCACCATGGTCTTTGGTTTGGTAGGGAACCCGGAAGGAGAGGGGCAGGTAGAGCTGAGGGGCTGACTTCCGAAGACGACCTGCACGAACTCCCCCAGGCCGCCAATAGAAAGGAGACACACTCGGCCGTGCAAGCCAAAACCCGCACCAGGGAATCAAAAGAGGGGCAACGAGGCTGATGGGGGAGGGGAGCGCCTTGGTGGAGCGCGCAGCCCCTGAGTCCCAGGGCCCCGGGGCTGAACAGCGCCTCCGCAGCTCCCGGAGCGATGAAAAGGAGTCTCAAGCGGGCAAGAAAGCGACCCTTTTTCCCAGAGCCGGCGGAGGAGTGAAGGTCAACGAGAACAGAGGCGGGAACGGAAATAAATAAATAAGCCGAGAAGCGAGAAGCCGGCACGGCGAGCTCGGATTGCAGGGAAAGCGCCTCTGAGTTCTCCGGCTTGAGGTAGAGCTGTCAGAAGTCAAAGTGCATCTGCTTTTGTTGGCTGTGTGAGGATGGGGGTGTGCGTGCCGGGCTGCCCACTGCCGGGATTTCCCCGCTCTTTTTTAAAAAAAGACAAGGAAAAAACAAAACAAGGAGAGAAGCTTTGGATCCTAAACTGCGGGCATGGCACAGCGGGTCCTGACGCGCCGGAGGCCGGAGATGGACCCGGGGGAGGGGCGGAGGCAGGCCGAAGGGAGAGCAGGGGAAGGGAGGCCGGAGGGATAGCTGGTGGTTGATTGCTGTTGTTGCTGGGGTTTATCCCCTTTTGGAGAAGTGTGTGTGTCAATCGAGGACGGAGAGAGACAACTCTGGGCGGACGTTGCTAGGCGCGCTAGCTCGCTCCCCACCGCCCCAGCCCCGTCACCTCGGCCAGTGTCCTGCCCAGAGGCCTCCGTGTCCTCGGGGCGCCCCTCCCTGCGCCTGGGCTCCTTCAGGGAGGCGATACGCACTGGCTCCTCACCGCGCCTGGCCGTGCATCGTGGCTCCAGTCACAACTCGCGGCCGCCTGGGTGCGCAGCCCCGCATCGCTCGGCCCGCGCTCCGGCTGCCTGTGTCCAACCCCACAGTCGCGCGACTTTCTCTCTCTGGTTTTTTTCTTTTCCCCCTCTTTTTTCGTTGTAGTGGCAAATCTGGGTTTCCTTTCTAGCCTCCTTTCCCCCCTTTTTTTCTTTTGAAGCAGGAGGAGTCAGGGGGAGAGGGCAGCTTGGAGAGCTTTTTTTTTTTTTTTTTTTTTAAAAAAAAGGTCCTGGTGCAGAGGCTACAGTAGTAGGCCGGCGGCTGGAACAGCTCGGCGCTGGCCGCCGCTGTCACCGCCCGGGCCGCGACTCGTTGTTGGCTCTCCTTGGACGTGCGTCCCTTGGTCCCCGATCTCCTGGCCCAGTCCGCCGCCCCGGCGCGTCTCTCCCCGGCTCTGGCGGCTTGGTCACTGCTCCTGGCTGTTGGCTGAGCTCTGGAAGCCCCCTCGCCTTAATGCAGCGCCCGCCGACGTCACGGAGGCTTGCGACCAATCAGCGGCTCGCGGTCCCTCTGTAAACCATCCCGCATCCCCCGGCCGGGGAGATTGCGGGGAGACCGCATTTCGAGGATCAGCAGCAGCGGCACCCGCGGCCCGGCGCAGGAGGCAAGCGACGAGGTGCCGGGTCCCCTCCTGCTCCGGTAGGGCGTCGGTTTCTGTGGGAGGGACTCAGGAAGGGCGGGAGTAAGCGCAGGCGGAGGCCAGAGTACTGCAGGAGGGTGGGAGTCATCCAAGACCGAGCCTTGTCAAAGACTGGGGTTCTCTAGCTCCTTGTACCCGGACGGCCCTGGTGCACTGTTTGGCTTTGCTATTAAGCGGGTGTTGGCTTTTCTTCCTCCCCCATCTTGCTCTCTTGGCCTGGAAGTTCGCCCCGGACACAGCGCGCGTCTTTGAGGGCAAGGCGCTTGGCAGCATAATCTCCCTCCTCCTTCTCTCTCGTTCCCTTCCCTACCCCCTCCCCCAATCCATCCAAAGTCCACAGGGTCCTGGTCTCTAGAAGACCTGGGTGTCTGTCCCCCGCAGCGCGCTCTTGGAAAGTTGATTCCGGCAGTTTCCTGGTGGGGGCGGGGGAGACCGGAGGCGCGGCGCGGGGGAGGGGAAGGAGTGGGTGGGGAAGCGCCTTGGGTGAGGAGTTGCAACCTAGTTGAGAAGTTGTGAGAAAACTGTGATCCGGAGACACCTTTTACGTAAAAAAACAAACGAAGAGGCGGGAAACCGCGGGGCTCAAGCCGCGGCGGGGGGTGCCGATGGGGGGGGGGAGGCGGCGAGGTCGCGGGGGCAATACGGGAAGGCTGCAGTGGGTTCGGTGTGCGACGCACCGGCGGGTAGACTCGGCTTCCAGTCCTCCCCTTTCCAGGTTCCGGGCTGCCGCCGGCATCCCCAGGCAACCACAGGCCACTCCCTCCATAGTCCACTTCTCTGGGAGGCCATACCTCCCGAATTCCGCTCCAGGTGTAAACTCGGGATTACTGCCCACGGGGGCGGATTTCCCGAGATACTGCGGTCGAGGCCAGGTCCTGGAAACCGTAGCCTCTAAGAGTCATTCTAGTTCCCCAGTGGACGCGAATCAATCCCCAAATTCCGTTGCTGTGGCACCTTTTTCTATCCTTAACCGGGATTTCCTCCGAGATGGGGTCTGAAGGCGGCAGGGCCGGGTGGTCCTGCTTTTTGTTTCCTTTTTTTTTTTTTTTTTTTAAGGGAGGGAGGAGTGGGAGCAAGGAAGGCGCATAAGGCCCTAGTGTGGAAGGAAATCAGCGTGAGCGGCCACGCCGGGTCTTGCAGGTATTTTGGCATTGGCCGTTTGAAGCCACTTGCGGTGCGGGGCTCAGGCACCCACACAGGGCCCTGGGATAAGTTGGGGAAAATACCCGGAAACTCAATTGCTGTGACCTTAGGCCAGCAGTGACCCCGGCTCTCGTCAAAATGAAATACCCTCTTCGGGCGAACCGCGACGTCACTACAGCGAATTTGCTTGTGCTCCGTGAAACTCTTGGGTTTCGGGACTCTGCTTCAGCCCCTTTCCTGCCACCAAGCCTCCGCCCGCATCGTGCTACAACCCCGAGCCCAGCCGGCAGTCCCCACCTTGCCTCCGGCGTCACATTTTTATTGGAAACCGTAGCCGAGGCCCGCTGTGTGCCTCTTCGGCGCTCGGCCTCTCCCTGAACTCTGGGTGCCGGACCCGCGTAACGGCTTCTCCGCCCTCCCGCGACACCTCGGCTCCGGCTCCCAGCTGCGGGGTAGGGCGGCGCAGAGGCCGGTGATCTCCAGCACATCAACCTCCTCCGCGGGGCTCTCCGAGGCTCGGGCACAGGCAGGGCAGGGGATGGGGAGGGTGATTTTCCAACCCCGCGAGCGGGCTCCGCGGGCTTGGACTTGGCTATGCACTCTTCTTGAGGATCTGGAACTTCCAGGAACAAGCCGACCGGGGCCTGGACTTCGGTAGCCGGGGAGGCGCTAAGCGAGGTGTGGAGCAGGATCCTTGCTCACCTGCCGAGATCCCGCCCTGCTCTCCAGTCGGCTGCGCAGTGAGGCCCGCGGGGAGGGACCGGTCCCACAGAGCGGTCCCCACACTCCGCCACCCCCAGCTGTCCCAGTTCTCGCCGCCTGCGCCCTCAACCCAACCGCCCATTTCAGGAATCTATAGCTGCCCCAGTCCCGGGTGGCCCACCCCCGCCCCCGCCCCAGCTGGGCTCCTTCTTATGCAAAGCAGAGAGGCAGCGGGGCGGGGGGGACTGTCGGCGGGAACCTACGGGGCGACAGCTGGACCCGGCTGCAGGCTCCTCTCGAAGCCAAGGCCCTTCGCCTCCCTCCGGGTGGGCAGGAGGAGGCTGCTCAGTCCGTTTGGAGGGTGCTGAGACCTTGGGGCCTCGACGTGAGGGAAAGTGGGAGCCCCTCCTTGCGGGCAGCCCAGCGTGGTGGGGAATTGGGGCCGAGGACAGGACCCAGGCTCTAGGGCATCAGGGCTCTGCACGTCCCTGTGTCCAGATGGCGCGGTAAACAGGTCGGCGGGAAGCAACCCCGGCGCCTACAACGCAGGTCGTGCGGTGCGACGCGAGCGCGCCTCCTGGCTCCTGATTCTAGGTTGAAAGTCCAGATTTAATGCCTCCACGGCGATAGCACACTAGATTAATGCTTTTTCGTTTCCATTGAGCTTTTGTTTTAAAATGTACTAGTCGCAGAGTCAAGGAGAGAAAACACGGAGAGAGAAAATTCACTGTCCCCGAAGCCGCTCAGCTCAGCCCTACATTTACACCAATGTCAGCTCAGGGAAGAGCACCAACATCACATCGCCCTTACCTCCCCGCTTACTGTCTCAGTCCTCAAGTACACGACCGCTGTCCTACCCAACGTCCTCCAAGTCACACAGACCAGCAGCACGCACACCCCTCCCCCGCATGTTTACTTCCTGGCGGGGGTGGGGTGGGGTGGGGTGGGGCAGTGAGGGTCGTCTGCGGCCGACCTCACCCAGTGGCCACAGACTGCTCTCCACACCACCCCAGGATCTCTCAGCAAAGGCCTCATGAGGCCCTGGAAGCGGCTTTCCTGCTCAGGTTTCTCGTTTGGGAAGCGCCTTGAAGATCTGCCCCAGGGTGGGGACCCAGTGCGGGAACTGGAGATGGAGGGGTTCTGCCAGCCGCCCCAGCTGCCCTGCAGTTTGGGAGCGAAAGGCGCCCCCTCCTGCACTACTTTCCGCCTGCCGCCTGTCTGGTCCTCAACCCCACCTCTGCTCTCTTCCGCGATGTCCCCGAGTGGCTTGCGCGGCCCCAGGACCCGGGCCCACCGGGTCAGCGTCAGCCGCTATTGATCCCGAGAGCGACGGCCGCCCCTGACGGCTTCCCTCCCGTCGTGCCGCCTGGGGACCGGGGAGCAGCGGCACCTCACTCCTGTCCAGCCCACGAACCCCAGGAAAGGGCGGTGAGGCGGCGAAAGGAGGCGACTGGGTGCAGCCGGCTCTCCGTTACCCAGCGCCGGGCCTCAGAGATGGGGCGCACCCAGACACGCCAGGCCAGGCGGCGGGAAGGAGGAGCAAGCCAGGTGCACTTCTGGACCGGGTAGGTCCAGGAGGCCGCGCAGACCCCGCACAGACTCTGTGAGGTCGTGGCAGATGCGACGCAGGGGAACTGTTGGTCCGGGGCCCTCGGATCCGACCGGCGACCTCTCTAGGCCTCTCCTTGCCCTCTTGCGTTCTCTCATGCCTCAAGTTCCTTCTGTCCCACTCCACCGCTCTCACAGGAATGACCCACTTCTGTGCAGGACTTTACAGTTTGCATCACTCTCCCCACTGGGCCGCATAGTAAGGGGGGGCGGTAATATCTCTATTTTCCCTGGAAGGAAACGCAAGTTTGGGGGTTTGCCCGAGACCCCTCGGTCAGTGCACTATTGGAAGTGAGAAGTTTGGAGGTTAGCCACCTCGTTCCATTGTGTTCTTTGCCTCCGGCCACGTGTTCCAAGGGGGCTTGAGTGGGGCGGGGGAGACTGCGAGGCCGGGGCGTCACGGTGTGCGCTCGGCCTAGGTAAACAACTCTGGCTTCCCACGGGGACTGGAGGGAACCCAGGGCAACTTGGGGTGGGGTGACATGGAGCGTGATGATCTCCGATGCAAGTCAGCGCCTTTTCCGCCAACAAGCAAACACAGGACGGGAAGAGCCTCGGAAGGGTGAGGGTGAGCTGGGGAGA